ATAATTCTGTTTTATATGAATTCCATGTTGTACGAGTCACTTAAATTTTACAAATATGTGTGCCGGGCTGTGAACGGCTCACGTATTTGTAAAATATAAGTTCAATACATGTTTGTTTTACCATCGACAGTATTTGTTAAATAATTTTTCAATCGCTGCCATTATGTGTAACAGTCGTGAAATTTAACACATTTCATCTGTTAAATCAAAAAGTATTTGATGAAATTTAGTCTGGCTTGGAAGAATACGGGACATATGATATTGGTCCTTATTCTTCCAAGCAAAAGGTAAATTAATTTCAAATTTATACAATAATTAAAAATCGAGTATACAATTTCAAATAAATGAATGAAATGTAAAACTTAATTTATTGAATTTCTTAATTAAATCGTCAATCTCTATATATTAAAATATTTCTATATACTTTGGCTTATTAATATCATACATGAAAAGGTATATAAGGCACAGTTAAAGTGTTTTAAAGCAATAATATTTAACAATGAGATCGAAATGTGCTGTGATCCTGTTACTTCTTGTGTTTTCAGTACAAAGAATTCAATGTAAGTAACTAAAAACATTCGTTATCTTTTAAAATATTCTTTATTTACGTGTGATAATCGTTAGGTTCAGAAGTTGAAGTGAAATATCTTCAGTTCTGCGATAGTAATTTTGGTGTCAGCCATTGTCAAGAAGCATGTGAAAGAGAAAATTACACTCATGGAAATTGTTTACAAGTTTCTTTGGATGTTCCTGATCTTTTATGCGTATGTAGCAGGCTGAGTGAATTGGTTTATGGATTAATGTATTACAAATAATAAAAACGTATGTACAAGTTTCTTAAACATGTATGTTTTACCTGTTTATTGAGAAATAAATCAAAATTGAACTACCTTTATGACTTGTTAAGTACTTAATAAATGTCTAAATAAAGTAAATGCGTATAATATAAGAATCGGGGTTTTTTCACGAATATCAAACAAAATCCCTTCTGCAAGTACGAATTACTGAGTGTACGATTTTGCATTTTGAACGACATTGTCATCCATGTTTTATACTTGTGTAAACTGTTGCAAAATTCGTATTGTTTGAGATACATCAGTTTACCTCGCACGATTTACTGCTATTTTCAACGGCAAACAAATAGATAAATCGAAATCTATGGACCACGTAAATAAGCGATGATTGCCTCAAGAATGAGCTGGTCTTATCATCAAAGCAAGCTCATGTTTACGGTCTCTTTAATTAATAATTCCTATGAATTCTGTCGAAAATGTCTGAAATTTTGCAGGAAGATTTGCGTATTAGTGACATTGATGTCGTTGAATTTTGATGGTTAAAGATCGAGGGGTGGGGAGATAGAGTGGGTCGTGTTTCGTGTCTTGAGTGGGATCAAACGTAATAAAGATTTTATTCGTTTTATTCGAGCGACCATATAAGCTAATGTGCTTGTATTTTATGCTGAAATTTTGAATAAATTCAATTAATAATATATCAAAAAATTGTAGTTTCAAATGTTAATTAAGTACATAAATTTATTATATATGTGTTAAAAGTATTTTATCTGTTTCATATATCAATATTTATAGAAATAAAACTTATCATAATGTAAGCATGTCAAAAACTTAAGAAACAAAAAAGTCTTTACAGTTTTCTAATAAGACAATGAAATTTCCGCATTTCTCTCAAGTATGGTTGCAATTTTCACGAAGAATTATTTTGGGGCCCATCAGGAGATTCTTCTGTACTTGTCTAACGAAAAAATTCATTTTGTTTTTCTTATAACACTGTTATATAAGTGATTTTCAGAACAGCATGTATGTATAATTGAATATCCACTTTAAAGAAATCCTAATTTTATTGCAAATTTTATTTAATGTTAGGACTTTGTAAAGATAATACATTTATTGCCATAAAAATTAACGCATGAATGAATGAAATTGTACATATGTGAGTATAACGATAATATAAGTGACTATAAAATAAAAGCAAAAATATCATTTATTGCAGAAAATACTACAAATAAAAAAGAGGATCTCGTACTCTGTTGAGCCACCTCTAGCGTGAATACACGATGCGCTACGGGCGGTTATGGAAGCGTACGGGTGTCCTGCGGTATCTCAGTCAACAGTTGCTGCGAGCGGTCCTCTAGTCCGACCGAATACCTAGGCTGTGCCAGATGAACCCAGACATGTTCGATCGGTGAAAAATCGGAAGACAGCGCAGGCCAGGGACGTATGGAAATATGGCGGAGGCAGTCTTGTGAAACCCTTGCTGTGTTTGGTCGAACATTGTTCTGTTGGAAAATGGCTCTTGGGAGCACTGCCACGAGAGACAACACACGTGGTTGCAGGATGTCACTAACATACCTCTGGACTGTCATGATTCCTTGGATCACTACTAGAGATGACTGGCTGTCGTATGCGATGGCACCCCAGACCATCACGCCAGCTATGGGGTGGTGTGCCTTTCCAAAGCGTAGACAGGATTAAGGCGATTGCCACGGGGCCTCCAAAGAACACGGCCGTCGTCAGTGTTGAAACTGAATCTGGGTTCTTTGCTGTAGAAGACTCGGTTCCATTCTGTTGCGGTCCATTCAGTCGGGAACGACACCACTCCAAACGGAGGAGACGACGGGTAGTGTCAATTGCAGCACACATAATGGCCGCTGCGGTAACAAATGTTTTTCACCCAGGCCCCTTCTATGTCCGGATGGCCGACCGTATGTCCGGAGGACCAGGCGGTTCTCTCGGCTAATGATCTGCTAAGAGCTTCCTGAGCCTGGGCGTCGTGTTTGCGAGCTCTCTAGTCTACTGGTCCAAACGCCTCCCCATAGTGTTGTCAGAACGGCTTCGGTGGTGGATTATTCGGCGAGATGATCATTCGGCTTCTCTCGGCCCGAATGATCCTTCCCCTCCCAAATTCGATTAGTTGTTCATATGGTCTTCGATTTGCGACGTAAACGTATTTACAGAGATATAACGTCCCTCTGCAACACGTAAAACTACAGACAGCGTGCTTTTTTATAAGCCAAAGGAAACGCACTTTAACGCTTTCTGATGACATTACACAATGAGCCATCGCGCTATAACTCTAACCATTTCTATATCTGCTTGACAAGTTTCTTAGCGATACCACAATCCTTTCTTGGCACGCTAATTTTTACGGCAAAGAGTATATTTTCAGAGCAAAAATTTGAGATCTGGTTCATTTGATAGCATGAACAAACTGCACCAGTGAATAAGTTACATTAGATATGATCAAGGTAAAAGGACTTGTATGGAAAGAAATGAATATCCATTATACACATACAGAGTTACAAAAGTTTCATAACTGGAAACTTAATATTTTTAAATCGAAGAAATAAAATTAAGTATAAAATATCAATTTCACTAAAATATTTTCTATTATTTTAAATATCAATATATCAAAATCTTGTCATTCTTTTCCATATTTATTATTTCAGTATATTACGTATAAAACAAAATACAATTTTAATAAACAGAGTGAATTTTAATAAATGCAGAAAAACAAGTCAAATTAATTCATCTAATTCTTAAAAACTGACTGATCTTTTGCGGGTTATCAATTCATCTACAGGACTGTCTGCAAACACTTTGGCATTTATCCAGGCGTAAATGTGGTCTTTCCAGCATTGCACAAGTATACGCACAGGGTATGATAATTTCAATGAGACTTTATAGTAAAATAAATTAATTCTTTCGAGAACAAACATGCATAAATAATGGGGAAGTCTCGCTGCAATACGTAAATGTAAGAACAAAAGTGCAAAATAAAAATGTGATCTTCATAAAAATAATGTTCATTGCCACAGAAGAACCATGTAAATTAAACATGTTCCTTTGTTGAAAGAATTGATTTATCCTTCTGTAAATATCACATTGGAACTAATGCTTTGTGGGCTAGGCATATATTCATGCATCGTGCAATACTGAAAAGACCTTTTTTGAGCCTGGATAAATGTTATTTTGATTGTTTATTATTTATTTTATCATTATACAGATGCATACTGTTTTTCTAAGTAGCAAGCAACCAAGTAAGCAAACCAATAGTCTAGTTCGTTTAATGTGAAATAAAGTACGTGCGCGTTGCGGCCCATCAGTGGACAAGCGGTTTCGTTCCCTGAACACTAGGTGTTCGGTTCGATAGGACGGGCTGGCCACGTGGAGATTTCCGGGTTTTCTCCACGTCTGTAACGCCTGAATAGGGGCCCCCTAAGCAGATCGCGTTGCCGTAACTTAGTAAAGAAACAAACATGCGCGTTGCCTGGTAAAGGGGTTTTAGTTTTTTTATAATTTGGCCCACCAATGGCCTAGTGGAAGAAACCACTGAACACTGGTAGTTACATAGCCGGATGTTCAAGCGGTGGCAGCCTGCCACTTTAGGAGGCCCAGGTGGTTCGATAACCCCTAAGAACTTTTCAGGATGGCCTTTTCCGATATGTCCGGCTCCAGCTCTCACCACCCGGCCGTCCCATTGAAGACCTGGTCGAACCCATAATGGGCTTGCAAAAAACGGCTGTCTTAGTGTCCACAGGGCAAAAAGAGACAAAAATTAACGTAAAAAAACACTAGTGGCTAGTCTTAGGTTGGGGCAGATTACGTGGAGTTTCCGGGTTTTCTTCAAGGGTTTGAAATCTAAATAGGAGCCAGTTTCCTAGAAAAAGTCCTCCCACGAAGCATTTCTTTCTGCCTTACTCCATTACTCTACTCTTTCTAATAATCCTATAAGATTTGGAAAAAAATAAAATATTTATTAAATAAATACAAGAAAAATGATTCCAAGTATAATAAAGTTCGAATTTAACAGATAAGAAGTAAGTAAATCAGCAATTTTGAAATATTTGAATGAAATATAAAACTTCTTTTGTTGAAGTTCGTGCTTCACCATCTGATAACAATTATTTGTTTTTGCATTTTTAGGAATTTCTCTGTATATATTTACGTGCTTAAATGTTATATATATATATATAAATTGTGGAATTAAAACATCGGTTACAATTCTTCAACATGAACTCGATTCTTCGCATGGTCTTGTTTGTTCTCGTTCTTATTCTTCTAACAATTCATTGTGAGTAATTACAAAGTTGTGTTTTTTCTTATTGTTGTTGTTGTAAGTATTTATATATATATAATAATGTTTAGGTTCAAAAGTGGAAGTGAAATATCTACATGTCTGCAATGCTGATCTGAACGCCGAACATTGTCATAAAACATGTGTAGATCAGAACTATACTTTTGGAAATTGTGTGGCATATTCGGCTGAAACGACTGATCTTATATGCGTGTGTAGCAGAACGAGAAATTGGGGCTGTTAATTAATTTAAATTCTTGTAAGAGCGTAGCTCAAGAGATAAATATAAATATCTGTAAGTTAGTTAATAAACTGTTCGATGCACTTAACAGAGTTTTGTATCAATAATTTTTAATGTATTAGTTATACTCATATTCATGGGGTAAATAGTGTTGTTTGTTTTATTAAGTTATGGCAACGCAACACTTGGACGATATGCCTGGGGGAAACGTCTTCCAGGAGGTCTTTTTTTAAGAGTAACTGGCCCCTATTTAGGCATTATAGATGTGGAGAAAATCCAGAAAAATCCACGCGGGTAGCCCGTCCTGGCGAGGCGCGAACCCACAACTGAACTCCCAGTGTTCAGGAAACGGAACCGATTGGCAACTGGTGGGCCGAGAGAACAGATAGATACACTACCTAAGTGAGAAGAGCGCTATGAACTACTAAATAGTCTAGGCAGAGCGTTAGCGAAGCCTTCTTCTATGTGGTTTCCCCCCAGGTAGGGAACCGAGCCTGGACGTGGCAGGGGGGCCAGGCGGTGAGAGACGACGGGTATTGGGTCCCGAAAGACTCGTCTTGGTCTCGATCGTTAGTGGAGTCTTATGACTCGAGCCGAAGGTTGCAGATGTGTCAGAACATCATGGGCTTTGGGTCTGTATACCAAGCCTTTTACTAGCTTGCTGTCCGATCGTCGTCTTTGGCGGGAGGCGACTCTGGCGGGGTTTCGAACATCTCCCTAAACTGGAACCTATCTCCGTTGGAGCGGACGGCTATAAGAGCTGCTAATTGGCATTGTGTCATGCAGGCTCACACTAAAACAGAAGGGAGACTGGCACGGTCGAGGCACGGGGCTATCCCTAATAGTATCGACAACGAGAGGGCCAAAACGAGCCCTCAGTAAGTCCGGAGCTGGGGGATGGTCGCTGTAGCCGTCGCAAATATGGTTCCTAAGGAGGACTTGTTTTCGGACGAGATATGCAGAGTGTAGTCGATCGGGCTTGTCCGATGGAAGTTGGCTGTATAGCTGATGGAAGCTGGTAGCCCTGCCGACGGAAGCGTAGGCACCCGTTGGCCTGCGGTGTGATGGCACTCGATAGGGGCGCTGCCGAAACGTGGTAGGGATCCTTCGCTTTGGCGAACGGTCCCGAGTCCCCCTACTCGCGACGGTTAAATCGTCTGCTTGTAGCGAGATGCACATTGTACCTTGGGCTGATGGGTTTTGTCCCTGATATTACACATTGGAGCACACAGTGGACGCTGAAACTTCTGGATTCAAATCTCTCATCGGTACAGTAACTGGAGGCCATGGATCTGACAATCCGAACCCTCTGGGATCTGAGACACACAAAGCGAACTCCTGCATCCACCCGGTGGCACGGGGCCGATGTTTCACGATAAGGGCGATTAAATGCAGTCGACTTAGCCCTAGCCCGTGGTAACACAGACCACGTAAAGCTCCTTCTGTCCGGTAAAAGAAGAACCAGCGTCCCAAGAGGAAGACCGGGCTTTGCACACCCAGGTGCTGGCTTGGGGCCGCGGCCTGCATGCCGAAGCCAGTGAGGCGAACTCGGAGGACTAGAAACGGGAAGAGCGTTTCCTAGTAGGAATGATGGGGCGGCCCAAGCCGAGCAACCAGCCGGACTGGGGTAACCTTGGGTAGGAGGCCATTTAAATGGGTAGCTGTCCCGGCAGCGGGCTAAGCAGTGACGACCCGGCAAAAAGGAGGCCAAAACGAGCCCTCAGTGAGTCCGAAGTCAGAGCTGGCTCTTAAACGCATTGATTCCCGAACGGATTCAGGGCACCCGTGAAAGGTCGGGATCACCCTAATCCCCTTTTTTTCTCTTTTTTATTATGATAGCAAAAGTAAAAAGTGTAAGAGAATGTGTTAAGGGTGCGTCTAGTGCGGACGTTACGCCTGATTACTCGAGCGATCATGTTGACAAAGTGATGGAGGGAGTAAGTGTGGAAGGCGGCGATACAACGAGCTCCAAGCCACAAGAGAGGCGGACCCTGCGCTCGGGCAAGGCCGCCGATCATCAACCACACGTGCCCAAAGGTGACGGGCAACCGGATACAGTCAAAGTATCGATCTCTTTAGGGAGCAGCGGGTCCGAGTCGGACTCGGCTAGTTCCGGTTCTGGGGATGTTTTCGACTCCGCCTCCTCTGGTGAGGAGAGTGAGTGGAAACCCGCGCCTAAGAACTCCAAAGCCAGAAGAAAACAAAGAGGGCAAAGGTGGCTAAGGCCAAGGCGGGAAAATCCGAAGGCGCCAAACCAAAGAATAAACCCACCAACGCTGCAGCGACCGTGGCGGAGGGGAAACCCTCTACCAAAAACAAAGGCGGGTCAGGGGTATAACCCAAGAAGAACCCTACCTAACAATGTTAAAAAATACCTAAATCTAGAAAGATCAGGCACTAAACTTACCGAAAATAATCGCAAAAGTTAGAGCAAAATTCAGAAAACACTCGAAACAATCGCATACCAACAAAGCAACAGACAATTGTCGAAATTCTATTGTTGCGTGGCGACTCAGTTTAATGCTAAAAATCTCGATTTTTTGACAGAATTTCGATTTCGGGGGGTTTCTGAGTCTGTCTTTCTACAGAAACGGACCATTCTGCTTTTTGTCCGTAGTCTTTCACTCACGCCCACAGAGACCAGGTGTAATCCATTTTCTTAGAGTTAGGATGTTCGAAGGCGTTCATAAACTATGTCGATTTGAATAGGATTCGACTTAAATCGAGCAATGGTAGAATCTTCTGGAACTGTTATTCTATAATTTGAACCCATTGTACATCTATAAATGCCCATTGCCTGGCCTTCCTTAATCTCGAGAACGCAGTTAGATACACGAAAGTAGAGATCATATATGAAAAGATTAAGAGTATATATGAACGTCCTATGCAAGGCGGAAGTTACGTTATTTCCATTCAAATCATTTCCCCCGAAAGGAGAGATGACAGGCACGCCTGTATTGCTGACAGGAAAAGTATGATGTACGGGGGCGAGACACTACAGTAGTAATTTGAGGTGGACAGCATATATTTTAAATTAAATTAAAAGTATAATTAAAAATTGCCGCCCGGCATTGTAAGCGTGTCACAATAAATAATTGCTGGTTATTTCTTTAATTGCAACTTTAAGAATTTTGAAAATAAATGGTTTATAAAGAAATAATATCGTTTTTTCGTTTCTGTGTTTAAATATTTCTCGAACGAAAACTTACGATATTTCACACGAACAAAACTTACAGGTTTTTGGTGTTTTTGCTTAACACGACAAACACGCAAACTTTAATTAATTAAAATCACGAAACATCATCAGCATTAAAATCTAATAACTTTGCTACGTTAAAATTACCGCGATTTAAACACTCATTTGATTTGTATATGGAAAAAAAGGTAAAGTATAAAACGTTTTTACTATTCTGACAGCCACTACAACAGGTACACTAGATATTTACTGGTAAAAAACAATAAATATTCCAATGAACATTCTTGATTGAGTGCAATACGGTTGGACATAGGCATATGCTATCCTGTGGCAGATGTTTTTACAGATGCCACTTGTAGATCGCCAGAAGATTTTTCCGAAACAATCCGGCAGCTTTAACACACGTTTTAAGGCGTCATAATCGCATGGGGGTATGAACTTCGACGACAGAAAAAGACAAAAGGTCTCACTGAGATTCGAACTAGGATCGCTGGATTCAAAGTCCAGAGTACTTACCGTTACACCACGAGACCTCCGGATGAGCTGCTTCTCGAAAGCCTGTTTAAAAGGCAATCGCGTGCCAACAGACGTTACTCTGTTCGTTTGTCACATGCAACGGAAATTTGAGTGTTGCAAAAATGCAATACCATTAAAAAAACGTTTCGTTTAATTCCCTCAGAACAATATGATCTGTAATTGATCACCTTATTGTTGTTACATATCTTTTCGTACTTACGGAACATTACTTTTTTTTTCCTGTCATGTAAATAGCTAATTTCATTATTATTCTCTTCTTCGTGAATAAATTCAATATTTTCATTCAGAGTATTCGCATAACTTTCAATGTTCTGTGCTGTATTAATATTAGAATCATATAAAATTAATATGTCGTCTACATATCTAGCTTAGAAGACAATATCTTTGAATTTTAAGGTTTTTTCATCAATTGACACCATAAAAATTTCCGCAAGTTTCGGGCCTTCTACCGATCTCATTGCTATTCCATTCTTTTGGCGGTAGTAATCTGTGGAAATTGCGAAATAGTTATTTTAAAAAGTAAATTTTATAAAATCTATAATACGATTAGATAAATTAAATTTACTTAAGTTTTCAACAATAAAATTCCAGTGTATTGATAGGTACATTGACTTTACGTCCGGACTTATAAATCGGAAAGAATCCTGGATTTGGCCTTGTAATAATCGATCTGTATTTTTTAATGCTATATTTGGAATACGGTATGCACTGTAAATAGTTTTTAATATAATTCTCAGAATTATACATTACAGAATATTTAAAGTCTACTAATGGTCTATAGATGTTTCCTTCTTTATGAGTTTTAAGTCTGATATTAAGTTGATAAGTACGTATTTTATTAAAATCTCCCATTTTCTTATATTCTTGAGTCGTAAGATCTTTTCTTATGGATTTTTATTAATTTATTTAATTTTTTTTTTTTCATTTCTTCTATTGGGTTGCTGGGGAGAAATTCGTATTCTTCTGTAGATACTATTTGTTTTTTCTTTAGTTGTAATTCTGAGTTGTTGATTATTACAAGTGCGTGAGATTTGTCTGCTATAATAATAAATATACATTTACCTTTAAAAAATTACAATTAATTAAACTATTTATTTTATTATTTATGTTAATTGCGTTTTTTTTTCTACTATGCAATCTTTGTATAGACCTTTTTCTTTGAATTTCTGAAAGTTTCTACTAAAGTTTAATCTTAGTTGCATTTTGTCTTCTTGTATTCTCGGAATTGGTTGAATAGCACTTTGTATTTTCGCTACTACTTCGATTGATTTCGAAAAAATGGGTAAATTCATATTGTATCCATACAATAATAAACGGAAATAATCACTTGGTATATCAATATTTGTTAAATTTATAATT